ATAGTATGGAGGTAAAACACACAGCAACCAGGTCCAGTGTGTGATTGTTACGTTTTGGTTGATATTGTAGATCTCCCAAAGCTACCTTCTTCTGATATTATCACAACAAAGACTGGGATTTCAAAATTTGGCTTTTGTATACACAGTATGCAGCAGCATTTTTAAGTTTCCTCTAAGTATTCTTTCAAAGCTGAAATGAGTTAACAAGTAATCACAAGTAAGTCAATTAGCACTTAGCATAATCTGTGATGTTCAAAGAATAATTAGCAATTCCCTTTGCATGGGATTAGGAAATGTTACTTTTAGCTGGGACAAGCTTCCATGGGCAGATTCTTTGTAAATCTCGATCACAAAACCTTTGTACTGCACTTTGGCAAGCTGATTGTTACCAAAGCTCATTAGGGTCCATAGCTGATAAGGCTTCCACATAACCAATGTATTGAGTATGTGATAATTCCAGTTGTTAAGGACAAATAGTCTAGCTTGCTGTGCTTAAATCTAAAGTCTCTGGGTCATGGGGCTAGAGAGATGGCTCAGCTGTTAAGAGCACTGGCTGTTCTTCCCAAGGAATCTGCCCTCTTCTAGCCTCCTAGGGAAAACCCATGGGACACAGACAGACATGCAGACAAAACACCCATACACATAAAAAGAAACTTCAAAACATTTTAAAGTAAACTCTTTGGGTCATTATAAACATTTGGTATATCTACAAAGATGTAACTATAAGATAATTATATTAGTCAAGATAAACCAGGTTATGCTGTTTCAACCAATAATTCCTAAATCTCAGTGATTTTATACAATGTCATCTGTCTCATTCATATCTCGTGTCCCATGTAGATAGAAGGATGCTCTCCTCCATGTTGGACTGACTTAGCAACTAAGTTTCAACATTAAGAGTGGGCTGGTCAGGGAGAGGAAAAGAGGGTTGGGGAGGGGAAGAGAGTGGAGAGGAAAGGCAGAGCTGAAGAATTTCAGAGATAGCCATGCTTTATCTTAGAGAAGAGGCATAGTTAGGAAATTTCCAAGTCAACACTTCTCCCATGTATATGATCCTGGAAAATCCTCTGAGAAGATGATTTATGTCTGTGACAGTAGTGAATTTCTATAGCAGACATATTTCTAGTTCTTCCTGGGCATGCAATAGGATTGTCTTTCTCTGCCTAATGATATTCATGCAGAAAATGTCTGTACTATTTTAGCTCAACAAAACCCCAACACTTTTCTAATCCTTTGCAAAGGGATTTTTACATTTATTATTTGTTGGGCGTCATGGATCATGTTACATGCCTAGCTCTTTGATTCATTTCAGCTTCATAGTAAATAAACTTACTGCGATAGCCTGAACATTTGTATTTAAAAATAAGAAATAAAAAGCACATTTTGAAATTATAACTCTCAAAGTGATGTTAGGAAAAGCAACGTTGGGGAGGTGCGGAGAACACAAGGACAGTGCCCTCCTGGCTGAGACTATACTGTTCTTAGAGAAGCCCCAAAGGGCTGGTTTACCCCTTCTGCTGGGTCAAAGCACAGTGGGAGATCATTTGTCTTCAACCAAGAAGAGGGACCTCCCCAGAATCTGACTATGCTGCTACCTGGTCCCTGCCATTTTCAACTTCGAGAACTACAAGGATTATATTTCTGAGTTTATAAACTTTCCAACTGCTGGTAGGTATTTTGTTCCTACAGTCTCCGAGTGAACTAGGACACATCAAATATAAGTGGAGAGCAAATGGAAGCAACTACTAGACAAGTCAACCACTGGGCAAAAAGTATTGAACGTTCCAGGAGTGTGAACAGATAGGTCACAGAAGGGAAGATTTTATGTTGGTGGTCCTCTCTAATCAAACCTCAAAATATTTTGTTTATGTTATATAGATAATAGTAACTCAAAATATTTTGTTTGATTTTATTTTCATTTCATGTGTGTTGATGTAGTATGAATTTAATAGTCCATGGTTAATAACTAGTGCTGGAAGTTATTATGGAGGCAATTACCTTTTAACCAGCTACTATCCAAGTAAAAGACACAGAGACCTTTAGGGTTACAACAAGCTTTAAGCCTTGTATACGTGAGAATCTATCAGAGGCAACCAGATCTTGGGATACAAAATATAGCATTCGAATACATACCAACAGACCAAACCCCAACATGTTGATGTTTTGCTGCATGTATGGCTATGTGAGGGTGCTGGATCCTCTAGAACTGTAGTTACAGTGTAAGCTGCCATGTGGGTGGTGAGACTTGAACCTGGGTCCTCTGGAAGAGCAGCCAGTGCTCTTAACTACTGGGTCGTCTCTCCAGCCCCTATTTTATTGTGTGTAATGTGGTTTCCTTTTTTACATAAAGGAATTATTTTAATATATTTATAAACTTGAGAATTGCATACACAATGTATTTAAATCACACTTATCCCTACTTCCCTCTTCAGCTCCTGTAAAATCCCTAACTCTATCCCAGTCCCAACTTCATGTCTCTTTTTAAAATAATTTACTGAGTTCAATTAGTACTGCCCATATATGCCTGGGTATGGGATCATCCACTGGAGCATGGTGATCCTAGCAGGGACCACACTCTTAAAGAAGATTGACTCCTCCTACTCTAGCCATCAGCAACTCTTAGTTGATACTATGTCCATTTACCAGAATAGTAGTAGGTTGGCCTTTAGGGCCTATGAGCTACACAGGCAGGGGTTCCTGTTCAGATTCATAGCATCAGTCATGAATTTCCTCCTGTATAGCAGACCTTACATCCAATCAGAAAGGTGCTTGATTACCCCTATATTATTCATGCCACCATTGCAGCCATGGGCACATCTTAACATGTCAGTCATTATTATAGCTCACAAGATTCACAGCTTGGTAAGATGGTTGGTGACTTTTCTCCCCTAACATTTGGTATAGAAACTTCCAGATCTATGAGAGCTAGCCAGGGAAGCAATTTCCAGGTCAGTATCAGCTTGATTTGTTCAAATTCTATGACCAAAGTGTGTGATATATCCAACAATGTCTTACCACCCAATTCTGGTAGGTAACCAAGAACAGTGGCAATAGCCTGCATCATTTGGGTGGTCTCAGGAAATCTTCTTGACCAATAATTCCAGGGGAATAGCCCCTACCCATCACTGGGCTTTTTCTTGGCAACCTGTTTCTTATGGGAGGAGCAGTCTCCCCCATGTAGGACTCCAATGAAACCTTTTTATATTTAGGTAACAGAAAATAGTAGGTTTCCATGCTTTTCCCCAAACATCCTTAGCATTTGTTCCTTTATCCTACCGTCCTGACCCCTTCCCCACTTACACATCTCCTCCTATTCCATTCCCCACGGCCTTACCACTTTTATTCTATCTCTCCTCCCTTAAGATCTGCCCCCCACCAATGGCGAAAGTTTTTGTTGTAGGAATGACAGAATCAGATAATTACACCAAGACTTAGAAATTTCCAGTTCAATAGAGTCCTTAAGCAATCCATATTCAAACTTCTCAACTTACAAATGAGAAAAGCAAAGCAGCCAGTGTGAGGCTGACCACCGGGGGCTCTCTTTTGCGGTCATGGACTTGGTCAGTGTGTACATGGCCAGGATGACGAGCTTGTCTGGACTTAGCCATGGACAGAGCTCAGACTTTGGTAACCTCACATTCACACCCCAAACTAGAGAGATCCTGGAGAGACCCTGACACCCACAGAAAAGGGGGGGTGGTGGGGACAAGAGAATATTTAGGATCTAGCAGAGCAGCTGAGGGCAACTGCAGGTTTTATTAATTTCCAGAGTGTATTTATATTCAGATTAGGTAGCTGTCCTGGCCTGTTTTTTCTGTTGCTGTGATATAATATTCTGACCAAAAGCAACATGGGCAAAAGGATTGTTTCAGTTTATATTAGATGTCTCAGTCTACCACTGAGGGAAGTTTGGCCAGAAGCGGAAGGCAGGGAACCAAAGGAGAAATCATGGAAGGACGGTTCTTTCTGGCTCATTCTCTGGCTTGCTCCAGGACTCATGCTTAGCTAGCTTTTTTTTTTTTTTTTAAATAGAGCCCAGGACCACCTGTGTAGGGATAGTACCACATGCAGTGAACCCTCTCACTTCAATCATCAATTAAGATAAGTCTTAAGAGATAATGGCTGCAAGTCAGTCTGATGGATAAAGTTGGAATTGAGACATTCTTGTTCTCAAATGACTCTGAGCAAACTCCTACTTTAGATAAGGGCTTTAACTGGTTTACCAAAAGAGGTATTTCATCATTTGGCATTTTGGGAATACACATCTGATTTTATTATAATATGCTGAGACAGACAAATCCAACTCACAGGTTAAGGATGTCAAGGAGCATTCTAGTCACTGAGATTCTGAGCTCTGAAGAAAAGTTACCTCTCCTAGTCTATTCTGATCCTGAGATAAGATGGTAGCCAAGAAAGAAATAACTGTTGATATGTAAAGCAGGACAGGCATTGTCTCAACACTTCTGTAGGGCTGTACTACTACCAACATTTTTTAAAAATAAGAGTACTTGAACAACTTGCTTTACATTCTAGATCTGGTGGGAGGAAAGCCAGGAATCAAATCTCAGTCCAACAGAGACCTCATCACTGTGTGACTTCCCATAGCATTGACATAGAGATGCTTTTGCTCCCTGGAAGCCTCCATCAGATGGTATCTCCCATGCTGGAGAGATACCAATATTGACTTTCAGAGTTTAAAGCTTGCTCTATGTCAGACATCAAATGTAAAGTGGGCACTGAAGCTCATATGTCCCTGCTTCCAAAAGCCTTCTATTTCCACAGCAACTCCTGAGACGATGCAGCAATGCTAAGTGAGGTGTGTTCAGATGCCTGAGTAACCAGCAATAATCATAAAAGCACATGAATAGCCTTCCACACTGTCACCTGTGTGCTTAGTAAATACTGTTAAAATAAGTACTGACCAATAAAGCATCACAAGGATTGGTATAAATGGCCCAAGAGGGTGAAATAACTTCAAAACTTCACTGGGCACTGCTGACCAACTGCATCGATTCTCATTTGCTCTCTGGCAGGATGAGGGGCCCTGCTCTAGCTCTGTTTCTCTTCTTAGTTCTGTTGGCTGTAGTGGAAGTAAGAAGCAGGCAGACTGTGAAGCTCTGTGGCCTGGACTATGTGAGAACAGTCATCTACATCTGTGCTAGCTCACGGTGGAGGAGACACCTGGAGGGGGCTCTCCACGCTCAACAAGGTATTGAACTCACACACCTTACTTTTTTCTAGAACCCTTCTTTTTAACCACCCCACCTCAACCCCAGTTTTCTTAGTAGCTATTTCTCTAAGAAATTCTGATCCACTTGCATATCAATGTAGGGACCTAATCATCAAAATATATTACAGAATTTGGCCTGGCAAAAACGCAAATGTGCTACATTTTAAAAAGCAACACACTGCTATTCTTTAGTCTTTGAATAAAACTGGTTCATTGCATGGGGCTTCAATGAACTCAGTATCTATGGGCAGAGTGGTAAAGGCTGTAGAGAGGCCAGATGTCTGTCTGCACACAGATGATTATAGAGCATATCAAGTTAGAGTTTAGGCAACTGGCAAACAAGGGGAAGGGGAAGGACCTGAGTCAGTGGACCACATATTAAGTACCAGGCAATTTCCCAGGCAACACATCACTTAGCTTTCTGTTGAAGCTCGTATGAAGTATGTCATGGTGCTGCGGCTTATCATTTATCAAGGAGAAAACTGTTTACCCAGCCACTCAGCAGTAAGGCCAGAAAACAAGCCAGGACGATTGGCCTCAGGAGCTGTCGTCATTGTTATTACATACTGTGCCCTAGACGAAGAGAAGGCTTCTGTAGATACTTACATCATGGAGAAGGTGGAACTCTACAGAGGTCCTGAAGGTCCTGCCAAATCTGAGAAGTTGTGGGGCAGGAATTAGGGGGATTGTGAGCAATAGGGAAAGCATGACCAGAATTCCCAGGGTGCCTTGTCAACCTGCTATCGTAGCAGCAGTGATGTGTTGATGTCACGGAACTTCTGTTTTCAATTCAAGGAACTTAGAAGATTGGCTGGAATTCTTTCTGCCATTTTTGTAATGAATTATGCGGTAAAGGACTGGAGACATGACCCAGAGGCCCATGTTAGGCAGCTCACAAATGTCTGTAATTCCAGCTCCAGGGGATTTGATGCCTTAGGTTTCACTGGGTACCTGTAATCATGTACACATACATACAACCTTATACACACATAACATAACACATACATGCACCCTTAACATATATATACACATAATTATAAATAATAAAGATAACAATTTAAAACTATGAGGTAAAATGTATTCAAGGTTCTATTAAATTGGCAAAACATGGATTTTTCATGTATGTAACATGTGAATGGTGCACAATGGCTAAATCAGGCTAATTCATAAGCACTACCTATGCATCACCTACATTACCTATTATTTTCTCGTGGTGAGAACACTAAAAATGTATGCTCTTAGTCACGTCAGGAATGCATGTGCTGCTGTTGATCACAGCCGCCACATTGTACAGTCAATCTCTTGAACTTATTCCTCATGACTGCTTGAAACCATGTACTCCTTAGCTCTCCCTCTCCATCCCTGGACACCTGAGTCACCCTTGAATAGCCACCACTCTCCTTTGCTCTCGAGGCCTTGGCTATCCAGATCTCTCATAAGTGAGACCATGCAACATTACTCTTTCTGTGCCCAGCTCCTGACTCTGCTTGCATAATGGGTGGCATTGCCTTTGTTTTCTAATAAAGACTTAGGAAATGAATGGCATGTGAATGCTGAAGCCACATGTATGATGCTAAAGGTTTCAGCTTGGCTTAAAAGGACTTAGGAAAACAGAAGATATTAGGGAATTGCCAACAATATTCATATTTTAGTAGGATAATATTTTGAGATGTGATAAAGTTGTCCTTACCACGTTAATACATATAGATAATACATAGTTCGTATAGACCTTATCAGAAATAGGTGCTTTTTAAACTTTAAAAAAAACAAAGAGTTGTTGTCAATTTTGAAACAGCACATGAAGACATAATAGAAAAATGCATTGAAATATCTCTGAATATACAGAGCAGTAAAATGAAAGTTTTGTAAATTTCTTTTTACATTTTAAAAGTATTATTATTGTGAGGATGTGTGCCTGTGTGTGTATATGACACGTGTACAAGCACATAATTCCACAGTACATGTGCTGAAGTAGGAGCACAACTTTGTGGAGTTGGTTCTCTCTTTCCATCTTTATGTGGATCAAAGTCAAGCCTAGGCTTTCTTTGTCAGGCTACAAGTACCCCCAACTTCCACCCACAGAGCATCTTACTGGCCCTATCTCCTTTTGAAATTACTGAAACCGTAGCACTCGAAACTTCCAAAGGTGTTTACTGTATTTTCCTTAACATTATTTATCTGATCAATTACTAGTTGACCAACTACCATTCTTTCTTCTGGTTTTGGTTTAAACACAAGCCAGAAGGACTTGAATACAGACATTGGGAACAACATTTAGACTGAACAATGTGGCCCATTTCAGATATGGAAAGGAAATCTCACTGATCAGCTCTGCAAAGCATCCCCAGGGTTTTTGTTACTGTTGTTGTCTTGCTTCTAGCTAATTAATTACATCTCTTATGATTAATTATATAGCTTATTGCTAATTATAACTAATATCTTTGGAAATGTCTAATTTCTCATGGACCAGAGGCGGCTGGTAACATTTGCTGCTAGCCAACTGACACCACTATCTTTCGACATCTGTAAAATGAAGAGCCAGCATGACTCAGCTCTTCCTGAAGTGCTGGTCTTTGGTGCTTTCTTGTTAGAGTTTGTAAAGGTATGTGTCTTTCTCTCTTACAGCTAAGACAAGAAACCACCTCCAGCTCCTAGATAGACCGGAGACATCCAAGGAAACTCTGGAGCACAACCTTCCCAGGATGGATATCTCAGGACAGGAGCTTGTTCGAGATCCACAGGCACCCATGGAAGGTCTTTGGGAATTGAAGAAGCACTCAGTAGTATCCAGACGAGATTTGCAAGCTTTGTGCTGCAGGGAAGGCTGCTCCATGAGGGAGCTTAGCACCCTCTGTTAGGACGCGCCCAACCCATGGCAGGCTTTAGCATGTATCTCGATGTTCTACCTTTGAGTCCCATGTTCAGCTTCTATCATTACAACCATGGCTTTTGGGTGTTTTCCTAAAAGGTCTATTATGACTTAAAGCCACTTTGCCAAGGCTAGCCCACTCTTCTTTCTTAATTCTAACTATGTCTTTGAAATTTCAAGTGCTATGCAAAATTGCAATAAAAATGCCTGAATCCAAGCTCACTGTGATTCTTTCCCCTTAAAAATTGTTATAGGGGCTGGAGAGAGTCTTAGCGGTTAAGAGTGCTTGCCACTCTTGTAGAAGTCATGAGTTCAATTCCAAGCAATGGCACAATTATTATACTCATCTGTAACTCCAGTTCTAGGGGATCTGATACCCTCTTCTGGTTTCCACTGACACTCAATCTGCATGTGTTGTGCAGACATATATATGTAGGCAAAGCACTATACATGTAAAATAATATATGTATATAAGTCTAAAAAACTGTTAGAATCAATGATTGAGGATGCTCCACCAAAAAACGTATACCGGGAACTGGAGAGATGAATCAGTAGTTAAGAATACTGTTGTTCTTCCAGAGGATCTTGGTCCAATTCCCAGAACCATATGACAGCTTACAACTCTCTGTAACTGTTGTTCCAGGGGATTTGATGCCCTTTTCTGGCCTCCTTAGGCACCAAACATATAAGTATTGCAAAGATATAAATGCAAGAAGAACATCTATACACATAAACAAAAAATTAAAACAAAAGTCATGCATCACTAAAAATAATGCTCCTCTCTTGCAATCTTACATTCTTCTTGATCATATGAGCAGTGAAGGCCCTGGGCCTGGAGTTACAGATGATTGTGAGCCACCATGTGGGTTCTGGGAAACAGACTACTGTGCCTTCTGTCCAGCCCCAATCTAGACAGCTTTTACTACAAGGGATTCAAAGCCTCCCCTTCCACTGGTGGGTCAGATGGGAGAGACTGCTGTGTTGTCTCATAGCCAGGAACTGTCACTTAAGCATGGATGAAGTTTGATAGATGGATCATCATCCTTCAGCTCCTCCAAAACATTTCTGGGACCACAGCTCTTTGTGACATCTGTGGCAGGAGAGCAGAGCAGAGAGAGGGGCCTGAATATTAACACATGAAAGAGATTAATTATCTATCGGGAAAAAGACAAGAATCACCACCACCGAGAGATACATGAAAGCGACAGAGCACACAATCTGCAAATACAGAAGCTGGGCACTGTATAAATGACCTATAAGAGGTCACAAATCTTGTGGTCCAAGGCCTTTGAGCCTTGGACCTTTTCAGTTCTCTGGCCCACTTTAGAAATGCTTTGTTATTAAATAAACTGTGTCTAAGCCAGGTGTGGTGCTGCACACCTTTAAACCATGCAACTGGTAGGAAGAAGCAGACTGATCTCAGTGAGCTTGAGGCCAGCCTTGTCTACATAATGAGTTCCAGATGAGATCTTGTCTTTCTTAGAAAACACACACACACATACACACACACACACACACACACACACACACCCTATAAGTGTTACAGCTTTGAGAGGAAAGATTTCCCAGTGCAAGTGTTGCAGCTCTGAAGGAAAGGTATCCTGGTAGTCAGGAGCCAAGGAATACCACAGAGTCACACTGCACAACAAACCTCACAGAAGAGATTTGTTGGGAAAGACACAAAAGAACTAAGCAGGAGTCAGGCTTTTTATAGGGTTTCTTGGGAAGGCAGGGTGGTGCTTTCCAGGGTGGCCTGAGATTGGTGGGATTTGGTGGTTGGATCTTGAGGCGTGTTTGTTTGTTTGTTTGTTTTGTTTAGTTTTGTTTTGTAAGGCTGAGCTTGGTCACCTGTGTCTCCAGAGCTGGGGCAATTAGAATAATCTGGGCTTGTCCTGGCCACTTGCTTATGTCAAGGGGCTTACACACTCTACCACCACCACCACCACCACCACCACCACCACTGCCACCAGCACTACCACCACCATCATCACCACCACCACCACCACCACCACCAACAACAACAACAACCACCAAAACTAGCTGTATATACTTCTATTATTATCCTTGTGTCCCTGGTCCAGTTCCTTGTTCTTTCATACAAGAACATGGAAATCCTAGTGGGTACTTTCTGGACCCTCATCCATGCCTAGCACAGCAGGAAAAAGTAAAAACATGGTTACAAAATTAAATAGAACCAGTTGCTAATTTATCACTCAGAAATAAATAAACACTTAACTTTCGAGTTACTGTGCATTATTTCTGAGAAACTGAGCAACAACGTTCTCAATCTAAACACAGTGTTTTTCTCAAAGGACTTCAGAATGCTCAATAAGTGTTTTCTGACATTGCCTTTCATGATTGATTCCAAGAATAGGCAGGGGCCATATACACACCATCCAGCTCCCATGAGCTGCAGGCATTCAGAGTATGAGTAATGTTCTCCTTCTTGTCTAAACCTTCCTTTATTTTGCCTCTGTCTTACAGAAATAAAAGGACTTTTCATTCTTATCCTAGCACTTGAAAATCCAAGGCCTAGCTGGTAAAGCCATTGTTATGCAATTGGATGTCTTCCTGGATAAAAGGAGAAAATAGGGCTGCCACAAAACGTTTTCATCTCTTACACTGTCAGCTGAGTCCTCTAGTGGGTTGTGATAATAGTCAGGATCTGTTCAGCCTAGTGCTGATCTTAGTAATGCTGTCTATGAACGTCATCAATGACATGTTGGGCGCTCATTGTGTTTGGTCTTTAAACAGCTTCACACATCAGCCGCAGTTAACCTGTAAGGAAGGGACAGTACTTTATCGTCGTCTTTAACAGTAGAAAGCAATCTGGGGAGAATTAAAGAAATGTGTCTAAAGCTGAACTGCTGAATGGTAGGTGTTTCTGGATACACAGTGAACTACTTAGTGTGAATCAAGGCAGTCTTGCCAAAGTTGCTTATATTCAAATTTGTATGACCACTAGGCATTCCTAATTTTCAAAAAGCTAATGTTATTAGGTAGCAAGTTAAGTATCATCAGAGAATGAGGTCTTTGGAGATGCAAGCCCTCCCTCTTAATCAGCAGCTTATGAAACCAAAAATGAAATTTCAAGACTGTTTATTGATCAGAAGAATGAGATCTAAGTCATAGTTCTTGTCCTTAATGGAGATGTCACTGAGAACTGTCTGGAAGGCCATTTATTGATAGCTTCTTAAAACTTATAAGCATATGACTTAAGGAGTGGAAAGATGGGTCAGTGGTTTAAAAGTACTGGCTGCTCTTCCAGAGGACCCAGGTTCAATTCCAATTCTAGAGGAGTCAATGCTCTTCTGGTCTCTGTTGGCATCAGGCATGCACATGACACACAGACATATGTGTACCAAACACTTATATACATAAAATAAAAACAAATCTCAAGAACATGATCTATCAGAGACTTTCTTAAAGAATGAAAATACAGTTGTCTTTTTGAAAGAAAGTCAATCCAAATGACCCATTCAATCACCTGGATAGGCATAAGTCACTCAGGAAAAGCTACCTTGCTAGAGTCTTTATAAGTATTATAAAGCCTTCCTGAATCATAGCTCACAGAAGTCTTAGGTTGTTAAGACTATTGGTTAGTCTTCCTCCTTCCCCATACCCAGCATCCTGCATTAGCATCTTCTGGAATTACGAAAGCTATGACCCAAGTGTGTACTATATTTAGCAATAGAGCCTTACTATTCAGTTTTGGTGGGCAATTGTATTAGTTACTTTTCTCTTGTTTCAGTAAAAGCACCATGACCAAGGCAACTTGAGGAAGAGAGCATATACTTGGGCATAAGTTTTCAGAGAGATAAGAGTCCTATGGCATGAGTCATGGCAGTAGATGGCAACCATGGCAGCAGCAACAGCTCTGAGCTCACATCTCTAACCAAAGCAGAAAACTCAAAGAGTGAACTGGGAATGTGGCCAGGCTTCTGAAACCCCAAAGCCCATTCCTCGTAACACACTTCTTCCAGTCATGCCACACCTTTCAAGCACCACCACCAACTGGGGACCAAATGTTCAAATGAACAAGACTCTGGAGGACAGCTCATTCAAATCATCATAGCAACTAAAATCAATGGCAATAGCATTCATTGATTTTACATTGTTTGGGGAGGGGAGTCTCTGTAACAACCTCAATCAGCACCTCAAAGGACACTGGGCTTTTTATTTGGAATCTATGGCTTCTGAGAAGTGTATCATATATTCAATTTAATATATATTTAATATATTTAAAATACATACTTATATGTGTGTATGTATTTAGGAAGCTTATAAAATATAGGTTTCCATACATCCTTTTCAAATATACACAGTGTGAGTTATTTTCCTCTCTACCCATTCCTCTATCTGGCTAAGAACTGATGGCAAGAGCTCATAGCCTGTAAGGGTAAACTAGTTCTATAGCATTTTGCTAAATGGACATAGTATCAAGTAATCTTTTAAGTATGTATCTGTGTTCCACAGATTAGCGCAGCTCTGAGTCCTCATCAGAGGAGGAACTGTGTACACTGGATGGTGGTTGCTTTAGGGCTTATAACTGGTCAAGATACAGAGAGTAAGTCTGTGGAGTGCTTAGCCATCTAAAGTCTTTCCTCAAGGCTCAGGAACATCGTGGAAGATTGTAAAAGCTAAAGGTGTTAAGCCAAATGTTTAAATGGTTTAAGTGTTTAAGCTAAGTGTTTTGTGGGAAAGAGTGCCTTCTGAACATGAAAGAACATTTGGATTCACAACACCCTGCACAAAATCAAGCCAGGCAACATTCCAGCAGGGTTAGGGGAGGGCTTATGAGACTCCATTTCTAGTTGAGGAGCTATGGACAGTTGGATGCTAAGGGAAGGACAATCACTTTTATTTATGGATGTGACCTCTGAAAGGTTGACTATGTTCCAATGAAAGCCCTCACAGCCACATGTACATGGACACCACTAATTAGATTCAGTGATACATATATATATATATATATATATATATATATATATATCAAGAAGACATGAAGTTAGGGAGAACATGAGGGAAGGGGCAGAGTCAAGGAAGAGTCCAAGCTGGAAGCAGTGGAGGGAGCATGTGATTAAAGTCCACTGCACACATGTATTAAATTCCCAAAGAATAAACACAAATATTGTAGTTTTAAAAGTCAAATGAAATATAGGCCAGTACAGTTGCAGCCATCCTGGCTGGAGAGAAGATACTTTAAAGAGAAGAAAT